AGAGGGGGAAGAGGAGGGGCAAGAGAGAGAGGCAGGGCCTTTGGGTTAGGAGTGCAAGACCCTATGGCCTACACCACTAGAGCCCCCTGAGAGATGGAAAGTAAGGGGGGAAAAAGGTAAGGATCATTCTAGGAGACTTCATATTCTAATAAAAGTAATTCTAGAATCAAAGTTTAAACAAAGACATAATTTTTCCTTGAAGAAAACAAAAGAATTAAAGGAGTTTCAGACAGAAGTGGTCAATGAACATCAAAGGATGTTCAGTAGCCTCTTACCAAAGTAGCCTCTTACCAAAGGACAAAGATAATAGCCTACAAAGACTCAAAGAGAATGAAAATCAGTTCCACACAAAGACTGAACAATATCATCAGAAACTAAAATTCTAAAAGTAAAATTCCAAGTAAAAAAAATTTTTTTAAACCTAGAATTCTATTTTGAGTCAAACCATCAATAAAGTGAAAGTGTAGACAGAATAAAGAATGTTCTGACATTTTCCTTTTAAAAATTTATGTGTTATAAATTCCTAAAATGTTACTAAAGATCTATTCACCAAAATACAAGGGATTAAATCTTGTATTTCTCTTCAAAAATGAAGGGGGAAAAGTCTATCCAGGAAAATGGATTCAACACAAGGAAGAGTTACAGTGACTCTCTAAAACAGTGACAAGAAATCTCATGGTGACATTGTGTGCTTGTCATTCGAATATAACTTGTCTAGCCTGGAGCACACCAGAAAATTTGAGATAGTGCCTCAAAACAGATAAACCTGATAAAATATTTGAAGTATTTTAACATATTGAGAAATTTACACAACAGCATCTTTGCTATCTGATCCTGGCCTATAACGGTGACAGATCTCTTACTGGCTCATTGACTTTCCTTTAAGGAAGCTTAGGGGACTACTGAAAGGATATGAATATATCTTGGATCAAAAGCTATTGCTGAAAAACAATCATTTTCCATCACCCATGAGTTATTGCATAGATTCACATTATTGAGAAAGTGGGTTATGTGTTAGAAAATAGGTCCCACCTTTATTATGGTCCATTCTGCAGAGTTTCTTGGTGCCACCCAGAATAATTTGTAATCTTCACATACTAGATATTCTTGTTTAATGTAATAGTCCTCATTACCTGTTGAGAAGATTTGATTGATTCCATTTAAAAAGTTATTGTGAGCATTTAAACAGCTCTAGCCTTTAATCTCCTGGTTTCCGGACTAATTGCTGTTATGTACTATGAGGTTGGAACTGACTCACAGTTGACCTTCCAGTGGGTTTTCAGAAGTTATAAACTGTACAGGAGGAGATTACCCATCTTATCCCCCAAGAGTAGCTGGTGGATTAGATCCATGTACCTTTGGGTTAGCAGTGTAACTCCTTACCACTAAACCACGAGAGCTCCCTGTATTGGCTAGAGGCATTTTTAAATTTGCCAGTTAGCAGCATCAATATACTTCTATACAGGTAGACTCTAATTTATGATGTACTTAAGTTACGATAAAAAGCACTTCCAAATGCCTTTTATTTTTAGGTGGAGGTGGGGGTGGGGCTGGGTTGTTACAGCTTATCTTCAGTAATAAAATGTACTATACACATGTTGCAGCACATAATTTGTTGATGCTATCGTTCCCTCATGTTCAGTCACAAGTGTTCAATTTTATTATTTACTGTTCCGAACACTATAATATATTTATTGAAATTAAACCAGGCACGTTAGGTGCTTGCTAAACATTCATTGCTTTGCTAAAGTGAACAGGCAGATTTTGTAAGCACTGATACATTATTGTGAAATATACTGAGAAAATAATTAATATAAAACACGTAACTTGCAAATTTTGACTAGCACTGTCATCCTCATTCCCAGAGACAGTCCAGTTGATGCAGAACTTTCCACAAGTCATTATTACAAAAGACAATGTCAACAACTCTTCATTAGAGTAAATTTTAACAATTTGTGTTTGGTTTTGTTACTTTATGAACATCATGGGAAAACTGATATTGTGCCAGAAGATAAACCCTCCAGTTTGGAAAACAAAACTTTATTGCTTTCAAGTTAGAATTGACTCATTCCTGACTTTTCAGTGCATTTTCTGAGGGTATAAATAGCGCCAGAGGAGACTGTCCATCTTTCTCCCAGGAAATAGCTCATGGATTCAAATCAGAGGCACCACCTTGGGTAAGCAGCATAATTCCCTAAAGATTATGCCACCAAAGTTCCCTCCTTAAGCTATAGGCAAATTGAAGGCATCTAATACCATGCAGTCTGAAAATTATTCAAACATGCAAACAATATGCATTGATAATTACTTGGGATTAGAATAAGAAAGCTTAAAACAAAGGATAATCATTGGAAAATATGGGCTTTGTGATAGAAACAATGTGGAAAATTGCATTATAAAACAAAGAATTTTTCCCAACAACTTATATACCATACATGTGGACCATATATGTGAACAGAATACAGACAAACCTCATTGATTACATTTATGAAAACAAACAAGAGAAGTTCAAATACCATGAGTCAGAACAAGGACAGAGCACACTGCCTAACTAATCATCAAATGGCTTATATGAGAGCTTAAGTTGAAGGTGAAGAAATTTAAAACAAGTTCATGAGAACCACAATAATTAAGTAGCCTACCTGAATTCAGAGATCATTTCAAGTAGAAATATGATGCACTGAACAGTAATGACTGAAGACTCTGAGTTTTAGAAGGACATCAAAAGACCAAAACAGATCCCAGAAGTTCTAGAACTTGCTCTTGAACGTAGAGTAGTTAAAACAAAAGGAACAGAGGATGATGTAAAAGTTGAACAGCAGATTCAAAGGGTAATTAAAAAAGACAAAATAAAGCATCATAATGAAATGTGCAGAAATCTGGTGTTAGAAAACCAAACAGGAAGAACCTGCTTAATATTTATTAACTGGAAAGCAATGAAGGAAAAATTTAAGCACTGAATTTCAATAGTGAAAGATTATATAGGCAAAAAAAATTGAAAAAGAGAGGGAACATCAAAGATGGAAGGAATATATACAGAGTCACTATATCAAAAAGAATCAGTTATCTTTCAACTACTTTAGGAATTAGCATATGATCAAGAAGCAATGGTACAGAAGAGGTATAAGTTATACTGAAGGCACTGGTAAAAAAACGGTCTCCAGGAATTGATAGAAGATCAATTGAGATGTTTCAACAACAGATGCAATGCTGAAAATATTCTTCTGTCTATGCCAAAAATTTGGAAGAGAGTTACCTGGCCAACTGATTGGAAACAAAAAAAATCAAACCCACGGTCATTAAGTCAATTGTTCCTCATGGCAAGCCTTCAGGTTTTTAAGGCTATGAATCTAAATGTTAGCAAACTGGCTTAGCTTTCTTCCAGGGAGCCTCTGGAGGGTTCTAATTGACAACTTTTCAGTTTTCAGCCCAACATATAACCCACTATGCCACGAGGGTTCCTTCAAACAACTAGAAGCGATCTAGAAATATGCCTATTCCAAAGGTGATCTAATAGAATATTTTTAGAATCAGTCGCATCAATACATCGACAGGGACCTGGCAGAAATTCAAGTCAGATTAAGAACAGGATGAGGACTGAGGTCTATTATTGCAAATGTCAGACAGCTCTAGGTTGAAAGTAAGAAATACTACACAAAGATGTGTTTACTGTTTTTACTGACTATGCAAAGCCTTTATTCACTGTGTGGATCATAACAAACTGGATAGCACTGTGAAGAAAGGAAATACATAATACTTAATTAGGACAATGCAGAATCGTACTTAAGCACAGCAGCAGCAGCAGCAGTTTAGAAGTAACAAAGGGATACTGCCTGACTTAAAACAGCAAAAGTACGTGATCCTTTCACTAGAGTTATTCAGTCTGTAGGTTGTGCAAATAATCCAAGAATCTACACTATATGAGGAATATTGTGGTATCAGTATTGGAACAAGATAGCTTGTGATACGTAGACAGTACAATCTTGCTTATGAACAGCGAAGAAGACTTGAAACACTAACTGATGTTGGTCAAAGCCCACACCCTTCCATAAAGAGTACATTTTCAACATCTACAAAACAGGACCAATAAGCAAACATTAAGACAGAAAAAATCCAGCAGATGCTCTGCTGGAGAAGGAAAGGCAATCTCCTTCTGTACCACTCAGATCCGATTTGATGGTACACAAAATAAAATTTAAAAAAAGACAAAAAAGAAAGAAGTTATCAAAGATTTCATTTTCCTTAGATACACAATCAATATAAGAGCCAAGAAAGCAATCATTTTATTGCACTGGGCAAATCCGTGGCCTAGTACCTCTTTAAAGTGTATGAGTATTAGAAGGGAGAATAGCGGTCTCTGTCTCATGTACTCTGGACATGTTACCAGGGACCAATCACTAGAAAAGGAAATCACACTTGCTAAAGGTGCAGTGAAAAAGAAGATCCTCAATGAGATGCATTGACATAGTAGTTGCAACAACGGACTCATAACCCAGCAGTGATTGTGAGGACGGTGCAGGATGAGGCATTTTTCATTGTTATACAAAGAGTCCTAGGAAGTAAGAGTTGAGTTGAGGGCACCTAAGAACAGTGTAATTAAAAATATTTAAATTTATACATAACCCTAAAAGATAAAAGATTGGAATTACAAAGATAGATAAAAACAATGGGGAAAAAAGATATTCCACTTACATTAGAACTCAATATAGGAAGGCATTAACAGAACAAAACTCTGTTGTAAGTTAGGGGCCACTCATTATGCCACTACTCATGATTTAGGACTATATATATGTATTTGAGCACAGTCATACATGAAAGGGCACACAGCCAATGATACTTACCTAACTCAATCTCCTTCTCTATTTCCAATGAAGGCAATGGTCTATCTTCTACGAAAAAATCTGCAGAAGTACTTAACTCTGGTAGAGATTTTAGCAGTTGCTTGCGATGCTCTAAACACCAAGGGGACCGAGTAGGGCTTTCTGGAGAAAAAAAGGTGAAAAAAAAATAAACTGAAAACATAATGCTTAAAATGGATATTCTAATTATTGTTATGTGCCACCAAACTAATTCCAACTTAAAATGATCACTATAAGGAAGGACAGACCTGCTCTAGGCTGTACATTAAGGGAGCTGTCAGATTTTCTCCCACAGAGAAGCCAGCAAGTTCCATTTGTTAATCTTTCAGTTAGCAATTGACTGTTCAACCTTTAGGTCACAAAGGCGCTGGCTATTTATTTTAACTTAGAAAAAATGTTTCTGCTGAGTTAATTCTGATTCATAGAGATCTTATAGAAGAGCAGACCTGTCCCATAGCCTGTAAATATTTTGGAAACAGATAGCCACTATCTTTCTCCTAAAAAGTGGCTCATAGATTCCAACCACAAACCTTTACATTAGCAGCCAACTGTGTAACAATTGTACCACTAACCTTCTTTGGATGTCTTAACAGAGAGGGAGAAAACAAGACTAAACAGATAATACTGCTAGTCTAACCATAGTCATGTATGATATGCTTTTACAATACTATGGTTAGTAGCATGAGTTTATTCAGGAAATGTCACAACTTGTAGTAACAACTATGGGGGCGGGGACAGAAAAGCTCAATTTGCTAAGATAAGTAAGTATTCACTGGCATGATGTACATTTCTCTCAAGTGGTATGTATCTTACCTGCAGTATCAGTAAGTTCTAGTTTCTCAGGAATTTGCAGAGATTTGATGGATGAGGTAGAAGTAACTGAGGCAGAAGATGCAGAGAACCCAGAAGAGTGTGTGGCTTCTTGACTATCTTCAATAATGGGACTGAAAAAAAAATCATAAATGAGCTCATTCTTCTAGGGTTAATACATATACATTTTTGTTATAATTTATCTGATAGCTAACAGTCTCATTTGTTGTTGTTGTTAAGTGTCATTGAGTCGCAAGCGACTCATAGCAATCCTATGAAGGAGAGTCCTCGACACTTGGGTGCCTTTCATCCTCTCTCCAGGTTCATAAGGTTTCCAGAGGCAAGCTATTATGGAAGTGGATGCCACTCCTCCTTCCAACATTTATTGCTAGTAGTATTTTAAATGATTTCAACTCATGGAAATCTTATTTGTGCAGAGCAGAAATGCCGCAGTGTGTTCTTAAGGCTGTCACTTTTCAGAAGCAGAGCACCAGGTGGTCTTCTGAGGAATCTTTGGGTGAGTCTGAACCATCAACCTCTGGGAAAGTAAATGAATGCTCAATTATTTTCATCACCACGAGACTGTCTAATAGTCTCATTAAAATCTATTATTTTTCCAAAAGAGGAGGTTCAGAATGAGAATCTAGATAATTTCACCTATAACAGTTAACAAGCAATGTCCGGGACAAAATATCTAGATTTAAGCTATTTCGGCATTTATATAATCGATAGTAAATGTTTACACTCATTCTTAACTACTGGAAAATATTGACTAATATACTATTTTTCTTCTTCTTCTCTCTTTTCAGGATGGTCTACTCTTCCCCAAGAAAAGACTGAAAAAGGAATTGAGACAAAACTTAATTTCTTTTATTTTCTTGTTGTGTACCGTCGAATCAGATCCAACTGGCACAGGAGGAGATTGCCTTTCCTTCTCCAGCACAGCATCTGGTGGATTTGAACCACAAGCCGTCAGGATTGCAGAGCAGCTTCTTTGCCACTAAGCCACCAGAGCTCTGACAAATTACTTAAAATGAACCCATGCTAGTAAATATGATAGTTAAATGGTCGGGGAAAAGTTAAAAAAATTGCAGTCCTAAAACCACAAATTGGCAAACTAAAAATATTTCTAAAACTAAAATTAGTTCCTCTAAATGAGCTGATTTTTAAATATAGATAATTCACAAATTTAGTCTCTAGCTCTCTGTCCCAAGCTCTTACACCTAATCACTAATTCTCATTTTACCCCTCTCTCAAAAGGTACTTTTAAAATTACAACTCTAGTTGCCTAGTTGAAATAATTATCAAGCTACTCTACTGCAGTTTACACTCAATATAAAGGAAAAAAGAAATGCATCCTTTCTTCCAATCGCCTTTGTCAAGATTCCTCAAAGACGTCATAATCCTCCTGAACCTTTAGTCTTATGAGTATCAAAATGTACTTCTCTTTCATCCAAAGAAATCCCTAAATTTCATAGACATTTAATCTGCAGAAGTCCTACTGTTATGGAACACACTTAACATAGTACTTAGTAGGCGGCCAGTGACTGATGACTGACTGCTCTGACTAGCAAACACACAGGGATTAAGAGAGCACTACTCAAGACAATCTGTTTGTGCAGCCTGTAATTCTCAATCACCTTAGCTTCTTGATACTGAGAGTCTCGTGGTAGACAGTACCACAAGTTGTCTGCTGGTCCTCGGTGGTCTTTATATCTAGATCCTCCTCCTGTAAGAGTTTCTCAGGATCAGAAGGGAGCTTCTTCAAGGGAATTATTTCATGGAAAGGAGTAGATGCAAAACGAGCTGCTCTGGCGAAGTCACAAGTATCTTCTGGGTTGGGATAAATAGTTACATTTCTGAAGCCTGTGATAATGGCATCCTCACTCAAGGGTTCAATTCCTGTAAACTCATCCTGAATAAGAGAATATGTAAAGTTTAGGTAAAATATTCCAGTGAGCTTAGGAATAGCTTCTCTTTTTACTTACGGGAGACATATATAGGTCAGTGATTTCACAACAGGGTACAGGAGCAGCATCTAAGAAGCTGTGTTGCAGTCTAGTAGATTATAGATCATAGTGACCTCTGAATTGCAACCTTTCCCTATGCTGCACTATCATCATGAGCTCTAACATGCTCAAGCCCGTTGTTACAGTGACTGTGCCTAGAAAAGAAAATTTCTAAAACACATTACAGCAAAAAAATGTATATCATGAAAAATAATAAGAGCATGTGCCAAACAAATAAGCAGAAAAATATTGGACAGCAGTGTATTCTTTATTTCTGGCTGTGGTCTAGAAAAATTCTGAGAATCTGCTATTCTATATTTTAAGTCTTCCTCCTTTATGTTGTATACTTAATTTTTAGCATATTGCTCATAGTAGAAAGAAAAAACAAAGTAGGAAAAATGAAAACCTGAAATAATTTAATACTTTATACATTTAAATAAGCTTTTATCTTTATAGTGATACATATATATGGTTTTTAAAATTAAACTATTTTTTGTAAACATGTGGAGATAAGTGAACACAAAGTCCTTTTACCCTAAATATTGTGACATTGGACTAGAGATTAAAAAAACTCCCACAAAACACTAATAAAAATGGTTGGTTCCTTTCTACGAAGATGGCGCCAAAAAGGAAGGAAGCCAAAGCAAAGGCATTAAAGGCCAAGAAGGCAGTCCTGAAGGGCATCCACAGCAGCCACCCCCCCAAAAAGATCCTCATGTCACCCACCTTTTGGTGGCCTAAGATGCTGAGACTCCAAAGGCAGCCCAAATACCCCTGGAGGAGCAACCCCTAGAGAAACAAGCTGGACCATTATGCCATCATGAAAATTACCCTGACCACTGAGTCAGCCATGAAGAAGATAGACGATAACAACACACTAGTGTTCATTGTGGATGTCAAGGCCAACAAGCACCAAATTAAACAAGCTGTAAAGAAACTCTATGACACTGATGTGGCTAAGGTCAACACTTTGATTAGGCCTGATGGAGAGAATGCGGCCTATGTTTGACTTGCTCCTAGGATGCTTTGGATGTTGCTAGCAAAGTTGGGATCATTTGAACTGAGTCCAGTTGACTAATTCTAAATATAAATTTTTCTCACCATAAAAAAAAAAAATTAAAAAAAATGGTCAATTCACATAATTTTCCACTGCCACAAGAGGTATTGTATAGGAAAAAGAACAAAGATTCTTTGCTATATTGGTTTAAACATTAAGTTCAAAAAGTTGTTTGTTTTTTTTTTTTAGTCTAAGAAGAATTTATTCCATCAGATTACATGTGGTTATTTTGGAGTTCAAAAAGTTTTTAAGCCAGTGATTCCCACTCCTACTTAAAAAAAATTGAGATATTATTAATGCATAATATTATTAATATTCAGCCAGTGATTCCCACTCCTACTTAAAAAAAATTGAGATATTATTAATGCATAATATTATTAACATTCATCCTTTAAAAATGTGTATGTGTCAGTGACTTACAGAATTCTGAAAAGGTTATGCAATCAATCTCTAACTTAACAGCATTTTCATCAACTTAAGAAGCTCTGCATCTACTATTATATCATCCTTCTCTTCCTTTGTTGTTATGTATGCATGAGTCGGAACTGACCCATAGCTGACCCTCCAGAGGGTTTTGAGAGGCAGAAATTGCATGAGATGAGAATGACCATCCTTTTGTCACAGAGCAGATAGTGGATTCAAACTACTGGCCTGTGGTTGGCAGTGCAGCTCCTTAACACTAGGGCACCAGAGCTCCCTATCTTCCTTTATTTGTCAGTAATTCTGAATCTATTTCTTTTCTTAATATAGATTTGCTTAAGGAGCTTAGGCAGTACAGTACATTATATGTTACAATGCTAGCTAAAAGGTTATTGGTTTGGAAGTATCAGCTGCTCTGTGGAAGGTGGACAGGCAATTTTCTCTAAAGATTTCCAGTCTGAGAGACCTGAAGGAAGGACCCGATTTGATTGATGATAGTGGTTTCAGTCTAGATTTGCTTATTTTGGACATTTTATACATATATATATATACTCGTAATACATGGCCTTTGATGTTTAGTTTCATTTACCGTGTTTTCAAGGTTCATTTATTTTGTAGCATATATGATTACTTCAATCTTTTTTAAGGCAGATTAATATTCCATTGTATGGATATGCTAGAATTCCATTATATATTCATTCATCAGTTGATGGGCATTTGCGATGGGACCACACTTTGGGTATTATGCACAACACTGCTATAAACATTCATGTATATAAGTTTTGTGCAAATATGTTTTCAGTTTTCTTTGGCTGGCTGGTATATACTTAAGAACTACTGCATCATATGGTAATTCCATGGTTAACTATTTGAGAAACTGCCAAACTGTTTTGCAAAGCAGCTGTGCCATTTTATGTTCCATGAGCAAAATTAAGAGGGATTCAATTTCTCCACATTCTTGCCAACACTTGCTATTGTCCATCCTTTAAATTATAGCCTTTCTAGTGGGTGTGAAACAGTATGTCATTACAGTTTTGATTTGTTTGGCCTTATGACTAATGTTGTTCAGTTTCTTTTCAAGTACTTATTTCAATCCAGTGATTTATAGTCTAACTTTAAAGTCTGTGAGAATTTAAATAATCTACTACCTTATTTATATTAACTTAAGGAAAACTGCTCTTACACAAACATCTGGAGACACATCGTCATTTAAAGGGATGCTTTCTGATGATTTGAGAATTGCCAGAGGTCTTCTCTGAGTTAAAGGCCCTGGTGGATCTGTAGGAGGACTAGAAAAAGACATAATATACTCAGTACTTATGTTGACAGAGGTAACAGTAACCCCTCAATTCATATTCATTTATAATAACCAAAAATCTTTTAGGTTAAAAAATAAAAATCAAACCTGGTATTCTTTTTTTCCGAAGCAAACTCATCAAATATGGAGAATGGTATGTTGGAACCTATAGGAAAAGACCTATGATTTATACTTTTAAGAGTAAATGTCCTACTCTTTAGTTGCTGTTCTGCGTTTTGTCTTAATAATAAAAGTTTTATAGCACATGAAAGTAGAATGTTTGGTTGAAATACTTCTTCTTTTTTTTTTTCTATAATTATATTTTATTAATTTTCATAAACATTTACAGAGATTTTGGGCTTCCACTCATTCATTGTTGCACTATTCTCTCTACCCTC